TCTTTCTCTAGAAATGAAAACAATTTTTATTCTTTCAAGATTGAAAGTCCTGAACCTCTGTAGCTGGAATTTAGTTCCTTGCATTCTTTTATTATAAAGTGGTTTTTCTGACTGCTTTGCAAATGGACTAACATTTTATTTTAAGGCTGCAAGTGATTTAAGAGATGAATGTATGTGATAATATATGAGCATATGCATATCATGAAACTAATTGCAGCAAAGGGCTTCTTGGAGCATCACAAACCGCTTGGTCTAACACGTGAAGCCCTTTTAAAGGGCACTTGGCATTAACAGATTCTCGGTCTCTCTCCTAGAAATAAACCAAAGCACTTTCCCCCTTCGAAAAATGATTTCTATCTAGACATTTTCTGCTTTTCCTGCTTTCTCTGCCACTAAATCCAGCCTCATATTTGAGAACTGCTTATGTCAATGAAGCAGATAATTGGGGCAGGACCTGCTATTTGTAAGTTCCCATTACTCTGCTGTACCCCTTGAGGAGTCTGCAGTGCTGCAGGACCTTGGCAGTAAATGCATCTGGTTATTCTAGAGATTGAGAAGGAGCCCTGGAGACTTCTCCTGGTGACTTTGCCAGCCGTGGAAGCAGTCTGAGTCTGAATGCAAATTTCCTCTATCACCTCTTACTCTAACCTGTGTGAAGTGGCTGAAATAATCTTTCACTGGGATTTACTTCAGAGTTGTTGCTGTCACAAAGGGGAAGAGAAGTGATCTTGGCAGGGTGTCTCACAGACCCTTTTTCTCCTCAACTTTTACAGCCATTGTCAAGGCTAGATTAGTAGATTTTAGTGAAATTTGGCCAGTATTTCAATTTAGATGTTGAAGGCAACTGTCAATACTGACTTTCTCAACTGAATTATCATGTGTGTGTTTGTGCCTTCGCCAAGGAAAAATATTACAGTGAAGTTGACCTACTGTAGGCTAGATATTGTCTTGTAATTTCTCCTCCAACTCCAGGCAGGTGTTCAATTAGAAAGTGACGGTTTTTCTCCTTCAAAAGAATCAAATTGGGTCTGAAGACTGGAAACAGATGTTAAGGAATGCTTCATGACAAGTTTATTTATTTATAAATAAAGTCACTTTCAGACTTCTTCATGAAGTTTCCAAATGGCTGAAATACTCAACATTATTATTGGAGCAGAATAAATACAAGAAAATATTGTTATAGTTGGTCTACCCATGATGTAAGCAGTAAAGTAACATAAATATGAACGCTGCTACAGTGGACATCACTTGGCTATGTGGAGCAATTTCATCTGTAGAATAAAATAAAAACCAAAATGCAGATCAGTTGTTCTGATTTTGGAAGTTACTACTGTTGTACCCGGTATTGCTCAGGAGGTTAAGAAATTTCTTTTCTTTCTTTCATTATGTTCAAGGGCAAGCTCAGTACATTCATCTGTTAACTATTGTAGAACATAAAAATGTGAGAATATAAAGGGATGATAGTGTTGAAATGCTGAACGCAGTTGATTGAGGGATTTCTCAAGTCTGACCAATCTTTCCTGGTTGTAGAACATAAAAATGTGAGAATATAAAGGAATGATAGTGTTGAAATGCTCAACACAGCTGATTGAGGGATTTCTCAAGTCTGACCGATCTTTCCTGACAAGTGAATGTTCTTATTCTGGTAAGGTGTAACTGGGAAGCTGTGGGCAGGTCGGGAAACATGACATGTCACACAACCAGCCTGATCCATAGTCAGGGCTTTTTAATAGGAAACCTATTAACTGGAGGGCAGAGAACTTATTTTACATCTTAAGAGAGTGGGAGAGTAGTCCCACCACACACTTTCAGACACTTAAATCAGTAAAGCGACAAGGTAAATCACCGATGCTCTTCACATAAAGAAGAGAGAGGGTCAAGATCCCCCCATGTCACACAACCAGCCTGATCCATAGTCAGGGCTTTTTAATAGGAAACCTATTAACTGGAGGGCAGAGAACTTATTTTACATCTTAAGAGAGTGGGAGAGTAGTCCCACCACACACTTTCAGACACTTAAATCAGTAAAGCGACAAGGTAAATCACCGATGCTCTTCACATAAAGAAGAGAGAGGGTCAAGATCCCCCCAAAGGGTAGTCCCACCACACACTTTCAGACACTTAAATTAGTAAAGCAACAAGGTAAATCACCGATGCTCTTCACGTAAAGAAGAGAGAGGGTCAAGATCCCCTCAAAGGGCAGCTTTGAAGCCCCTGAATTATCAGCCTTTTCTGCATCATCTCCTGCAAATGTTCACTACCGCTCTGTTTGCAAAACGTGGGCCCCCATGAACTCCCTGTGGGGTGTCAGGGTGGGCTGAGCACTGACCTCTTCCCAGAGCCGGTGCTGGGATCAGTTTGGTCTCGGCTTTGGGTTAAGAGTCACTGCAGAAAGTGGGGAGTCAGGCTGGGACTTTTTTTCCCTTAACCATCTGTCTGGTAGAGGCTGCCAGCTCAGTGTGTATTATAACATTTGTTTAACTAAAAGAAGTATTCTGGGTGTAAGAAGAGGGAAACGAGAGCTTTGCTTAAACTTCATCTAATTGCTTGTCAGTCTCCTTATTTTTCCTTTGTTTTCCAAACTCCATATGACACTGGTGCTTTTTTTATCACACTGGCCAGACTACACTGAACTTATACATTTAAAATGAGCAAAGTTCTAATATTTTAAAGTTTTCTATAAAAAAAATTGTGACTGGGGTCACCCTACCACTAACCTACCTTTGTTTTTAAAATTCTTTGTTTGGAAGAGTTTCATAGGCCTGTTTTTTTCCTCAGCAGTAAAAGGCATGTCAACATTATCAGTTTGGATTTTGTTCTCTGGATTTTTTGGGGCTTTGATTGAACTATAAAATAAGATTTGAGTTCAAATCTAGCCCTCAGATTCACAGGCCAGCAGGGTTTTATTTATATAATATCCTCATACCTTTTTCTCAGGACCTAGGTGAGTGATTCTTTGAATGCAAATGGATTAATATTTCCCAAATAATAGATGCATTGCAATAAAATCTGATTTTTAATAATGAAAAGTTAAGAGAATAAATGCAGGAAAAACATTATGTTAAAATGCTGTCTTCCAAAGTAGTATTTATGATTGAGTACTGTTTTCTAGTAAGGTGTGATACTAAGTATGTATGAGTTGACTGAATTCTGAATTTCTTTTTTAATTAATTTAATGTAAGAACAGAAAAAGAATTTTACTCTGTTTTTTATACAATATTTACTGTCTTAAGGAGAAGGAGGAAGTATTGTCATTTCTCACTCTTAGAAGTAGTAAGTAAAAATTATTTGGCGAGATTGATTCAGGAGTGGACTAGAGACTGTAAAATATCTTTGTCCGTTTAATGGTTTATAGTGCTATAACATCTTGCTTATTAAATGCAGTCACATTTTCGTGTTCAATGAAAATTACAGTAGTAAATACATTGTGAAATGCAGAGTCAAGGTCAGTGGAGGCCAAAGCTTTTTTTCCCGTGGTCACGCCGAGTGGTATAACGTGGTGACGGTAGTCTCGGCTTCTCCTACCAGACTTTATTAAAACATTACAACCTTGGCAGCATCACCTTCTGATGGAACAAGATTAACTGTGTGGCTGCTGCTGTACAGCGTGCTCAGGCAGGTCTCTGTTGAGGGAAGACTGAATGCTGAGCAGATTTGCAGTGACTTTGAGTGATAAGGATTATTTGAAATAACGGAACTGTTTTCAGAATTGGGGCCCTTAGCCTTTTTTCAATCACTTTACAAAATGCTTTTTACTTACTCTGGTGAGGATCAGGCTCCCACTGCAGTCAGAGAGGAGAAGGATGGCAGTGTCTGCCTAACCCAATCATAATTGTCTCTGAAGTTGTACTTTGCAAATGCTGCTTCCTTTTATTAAGGAGGAGATTCATCAAGCAGAACATACAGGTTTTAGCCTGTCTTGGAGATACGGGATAAAGTTAGGAAATAAAGAAAGCAAACATAGTTTTGTCTCCTGTGTGCCGGGTCTTGAATATTGTAATAGGTTAATTGGATCATAGAGAGGTTGTTTTCTGAAAGGCAGTGCAGGTTATAAAGGAGAACAGTTTTCCAATGACACGGATGAGGTTTGTTTTGTGGGCATGAAATTCAATAAAGGAAAGCTTTTAATAAATATATAATTTACGGAAGACCAAGACTTACATGACAAATGTAGTGTCATATTTAATTTGGGATGCTAGCATGCAGCTAAAAGTGATCTACAGATTAACCATTTGCTTTATACAGAAATGGTGCAGCAGGCAGAGGACTGCCGGTACAGAATTTGCTGTGAAAGCCACAGATTTCATGGAAGGAGCAGAGGATAAATAAGAACAATGCCATTTCTTGATGCTACCCTTTTTTCCAGCCTCAAGAGTTCCATAGAAATATTAAGACTGCAAATAACACTGGTTTGAGCTGCAATCACTCTCTCTAGCTGTCTTCTGTATCTGCGACAGAACAGCTGCAAGGTGACCTCTTCCAGCAGCATGGAGCCTGCAGATGCAACGCTATCAGACGGAAGAAATGAAAGCAAAGGAGAGAGGGGTTTAAGTGAGGAAAAGAGCTTATTTTTCCCTATGAAGAACGAGGTTTACTTATATTTCTTCCCACAAACTTGATGATGTTTCTGGTGTCTGAAAGAGGGCACTTCTTCACGACATCTCTTTTTCCTCCTGGCTCTTCCTCTGGACAGGTCCTCTGGAGTCACTGACAGCTATTGACAGATCGTTCTGTCCAGTATCTGGAGATTCCAGTAACACAAAGAAAGGCCCTTGAATACCTCAATCAGAATGGTTCTTGGCTCTTCCTGTGGTGGCAGGAGCTGAGGCCTGCTTGGCAAGGATTTATGAATAAACCCTTCTTAATCATAGATTTCCATGTTCTTTGGCTATATTTGTTTGTACTGAGTTCAGCCCACGGTTATGTCTCTTTCATAGGCTCGTGAAGAAACAACTCCGTGAACCTAAACTCTACGAGATACGGTGGGAGTGTCTCGGTGCTCTTGCTGCCTTCTCCCTGTGTTGGCTGAGACCTTGTGTGCCCTCCAAGGCAGAGACAGGAGAAATCCAAGATTCACGGCTGTTTCTTGTGGCTCCTTTTACCCTTTTTACCCGACGTCATGTTTTCCTTTCCTCTTTATCCATCTCAAGGCTGACTATTGCCCTCCTTACCTGCTTACTTCTTGTCTTCGTCCCTCCCTGTCTGCACCTCTTTCCACCTTTGGTGAACTCCGCTGCTGGGTTGATGACCATGGCAAGGGGCAAGAGCCCATCTTCCAGCTGAAGAAGACTCTCAAAGCATTGATTTGTGTCAAGGGTGGATTACTGCTTTTCAACAACAGACATGAAGCAAAAGGGAAAGAAATAAGAATTGATTTTCTCCATATCTCGGTGGTGCCCTGCCCAACGCACAGTCCCTCATCCTGCCTAAAACCTTCCACCAGTGGTTGATAAGGGTTCAAGAATTTGTTACTAAATACTTTGTAACAACAATTAGTCGTTGCTCCGTTAGCTCTGCCAGTGATTAGCTGTAGCCAAAAAGCATCTGTTATTAGCCTCCTTGGAGCAATGTGGGTATGACTTGTTCTTGATAAGTTGCTACATTAATAATGATCTGTTATTTTCAGTAGTCCATTTTTGCTAGTTTTTTAATTAGGAATGAGATTTAGCTTAACATTACAGTAACCAGTTACAATAAATGATTGTCTCAATATGTTTTCTGACTTATTTTAGTTACAAAATTATGAAAAAATAAGCCTCCAAATCTGGCTTTTTATGTGTAGTCTTCTGACCTGATTTTTGTCTGAGATATTAACGATAATAAATCCACCAGTGGTTTGCCAGGAAATGGAAATACTTCATTGTTTTTTGTTTTCTGTGGCTGACCTGAAAAAATAAATATTTTCCTGACAGTGTGATGTAGTGAGTCAGACAAGAAATCTTTTTACTTCACTGTGATGACAACTCAAACGTCTGTTTACTTTCCAGTCTTTAGAGACATTGACTGAAAACATACTTTTGCTTTCTCAACACTGTACTAGATTTCTCTGAAATTATAAAGAAAACCCCTAACCAGGTGGTTTTTTAATTATTATTTCAGGGGCCCAGAGACAAGAAGTAGCCTTAATGAACGGGCTAACTGTTAACTTGCACCTCCAGATGGTATGTCTTTACAATGTTTATTTGATGTTGTGTTGACAAATATTTTTTTTCCTTTGTGAATGTAGGCTAAGTGTTTTCTGACGACCACAAAAACACAGCACTGGATCATAGAATCATAGAATGGCATAGGCTGGAAGGGACCTCAGAGATCATCTAATCCAACCTCCCTGTCATGGGCAGGGACGTCTCTCAAACTACATCAGGATACTCAAGGCTCCGTCCAACCTGGCCTTGAACACCTCCAGGGAGGGGACATCCACAACTTCTCTGGGCAATTTATTCCAAAGTCTTACCACCCTCGTACTGAAGTATTTCTTCCTAAGATCTAATCTAAATCTGTTCTTCAACTTAAATCTATTTCCCCTTGTCCTATCAGTGGACACTCTTGTAAATGATAGGTAGGATGATAGCCTAAACTTTCTTAAGCCTTCAGAGTTGCATCTTGAATGATGCTTTGGCTCGTACAAGACCTGGCTCCACTTACTATTAAGAGAAAAGCTGAACAGAGACATATTTTCAAGGACTCTGCAGGGGAAGTTTGAGCTGTTCTCACATGTGCTGCATGTCAGTTCTCAGAAAGGAGGCCTTATTATTTAAGAAACATTTACAAATAACTTCTCAAGTTTGAATTTCATACCAAATTTCAAAGTTTTAAGAAAGAAGAGCTCAACTGTGAGCAAGACAAAGCTGTAGTTTCAGTCAAGCTTAAAATATGATTACATACAAGAGATGACATTTTGAGTTGTTTTATATAGACCCGAAATGTGGTAAAGCATGTGATTTTTGATTTTTATGACATAATGGCCATAAATGTGGTTTCCTTATGTACAGGTCTCTGTGGTTATATACAGCCTGTCTCTGGTCTAGTATTTCCAAAAATTTGGTTCAACTGAATGAAGACATGAAGCTTTGTTTTGTGTGGTTCACACAAAAAGATTTATCACTTGGATCAGCTCCTCTGTAATGTGGCTCTGATCTTTGTCAAATTAAGAAACCTGAAGCACGAAAGGATGGAGATAAGCACAAGCCAATTAAGTGCAATGCAGCCACACTGGTGCCAAACTGCTCAGGTGCACAGCCTGAGCTGAGCTCTGTCTAACCACTGCCAGCATGAATGGGAGGGCTTGTGAGTCTTCTCCTAACCTTCTCAGCATGGTGAGCCCAACTCACCTCCTCCATGCAAGAAGCTGAGAAGGAAAGGCCAATGGTACTGAGATGAGGTCTTTGCAGAAGGCTTAGTCCTTTCATCAGGCTTGTTTCAGAGGAGGGGATGATTGAATAAGTGATTTTTTTTTAGGGCAGGAATGGAAATCCAATTCCTTTGCACTGTTTGCTAATCTTCAGCTGCTGCTTCTGCTTGCGGGATGGAGCTGGGTGAAATCCCGGCTTCCCTGGCTGCAGTCAAAGCTTTGCCACCAATTCCTCTAAGAGCAAGTTTTTACTGCTGGATTTTTGTGGTCTTTGTTATGGATATATGAAATACAGTATTATAATGTTTTCTGACTTTGATAAATGTTATATGGACAAAGAAATATATGTAATTTCTTGGGGATTCTCTGTAGTCTGCATGAAAGTAAACCAGT